TATGTTGTATTCCTTAACTACCCAATGTACCAAAAAATGAACCAAATCAAGTCTACCTTAAAAATCCTTTCATTTTAGGGTTTATAATACCTCATTCTATAAATATGATATCCTAAAATATGTATAATTAAATTATAAGAAATATCCTTATAAGAATATTTCTGAGAACATAATTTTTTAAGTGCTAAAACTCATAGTAGCTATTAGGAGTCTTAAAATGGGATCCTGAAAATGAAAACTTTAAATTCTATATGAGTAGAATTCTCTAAAACTAACTTTATTTAATGATTAAATAATGATTAAAATTAGAATACTACGTCATCTTACGGAAGACCTTACCTCAAACTATATGTATGAAAACAAATATGTAAGTAACCTCAAACATTGTTCACAAAAGATTATCTAGTAAGGTACTTTTTATTTCCTGCTATGACAGTATTCTCCATCAAGAAAATATCAGTCACCCTAGCTGGTTTGGCTCAGTGGATAGAGCGTCGGCCTGCAGACTCAAGGGTCCCAGGTTCCGTTCTAGTCAAGGGCATGTACCTTGGTTGCGGGCACATCCCCAATAGGGGGTATGCGGGAGGCAGCTGATTGATGTTCCTCTCTCATCATTGATGTTTCTAACTCTCTCTCCCTCTCCCTTCCTCTCTGTAAAATTCAATAAAATATATTTTAAAAAATCAGTTTAAGAAAATATCAGTCAAGTCCACCAGTGTGACTCAGTGGTTGAATGTTAACCCATGAACCAAGAGGTCGCGGTGTGATTCCCTGTCAGGGCTGATGCTTGGGTTGTGGGCTTGATCCCCAGTAGGAGGCAGCCAATTGATAATGTTTCTCTCTCATAGATGTTTCTATCTCTCTATGCCTCTCCCTCTCTTCCTAAAAAAATCAATAAGAACAGATTAAGAAAGGAAAATATCAGTCAAAATATTTCTTGTATATGAAATACATTTACTCTCAATTCAGTCAATGAATATGCCAAAAGAAGTGTCCTCCAATTATCTCCACATTGCAAAATGAAATATTTAAAAATTTAAGTAGAGATTATAAAAATGTAAGTTTTGGCTTCTATGAAGATCAAGGAGATGGCAAAACAACATCCTGTGAATAAATGCAGTTCTTTGACCAAAGACACATATGGTGTCCATATGAAGAGTTGGGTGCGTTAAGGAAATGCTAACAATTTACGATTAAAAATAAGGCTGATAGCCGGGACCGGTTTGGCTCAATGGCTAGAGCGTCGGCTCGGGGACTGAAGGGTCCGGGTTCGATTCCGGTCAAGGGCATGTACCTTGGTTGCGGGCATATCCCCAGTAGGGGGTGTGCAAGAGGCAGCTGATCGATGACTCTCTCTCATCAATGTTTCTAACTCTCTATCTCTCTCCCTTCCTCTCTGTATAAAATCAATAAAATATATTAAAAAAAATAAAAATAAGGCTGATAGATATGTCAACCTGCTTCTGAGTCTTTAATATCTAGTAACTTATAAGTGCTAACATAGATATTCTTTGTAGACTTGCAAGATCAGAAATCCATTTCCGTAGCTCAGAAGACACATGTTTCTGTACAAGGTAGAAATTTTCAGATTATACTAGATATATACTTTTATAGTAAATAATCAACTCTTTTAGGGTATAGGATAGATACCAAAATAACTTTAACCTCAAATTAGTTTTCCTGCCCAAACATACATTATTTTTATTTCTTCTTTAGCAAATATAAATGGGAGGGGAAAGTAGCATCTTTGAGAGAAAACTGCATGCCAGGAAGTACCACCATTTTTTTTTTGTAGCCTTTGTGTTTTTAACCAAATTACAAGTATTATTTATTTACAAGGTATATATGAACATATGCCGTAAGTCCATTTTCATTGAAATAACTTCATCTCAGCAACATAAAAAGATACCAATATAAAAATCCCAAATATATACAACAAACAAATCACTTTTAAAATTTCCATTTAATTTTCTGTTGAAATTTAATACGTGCTATTATGTGGAGGTAAACATTTTAAATGAATATATTTGAACTTAAAACCACTATTTTAATTGTGTTTTTAGTCAAGATATTTTAAGCATTTGACAATTTGACCACCGTATTTTACCAGTCTCAAACTATTGAATTATTATAATTTTATATCCAAGAAGTATATATTTTGAATGTTCTCACTTTTAAATAATTAGTAAAGTGTACTTATATTGATATCCTTGATTCTGAACTGATGGACTATTTAGGAAATGGCACTGTTCAAAATAGAAAGTGCCATATCAACCATGGCATTTGCTGAATGCAAATAATTGCTTTCAGCAAGAAATAACCAGAGTAACGACAAGACAAAGAGGAAAGGAAACCAGATTATCATTACACAATATTTACTGCAAACTTTCTACATGTCAGACATACAACTACCCACAGGGAACCCAGTGACCAGACACATAATGTTAGCAATAGGGATAATGCTTACAGAAAAAAAAAAATGACATGAATTCCTTATGTTTGACTTCCATTAATTAATGGATATTCATTTCATTTGAGGTTGGGGTAAAATGAATAGGTCACATGACGTTATCTAAAATAAATATATACTCCCAGGTGTTCCCCAAAATATGTTTACTTTCTATAGAGGTGGTTGTGGAACAAATGAATTAAAAGCATGAATCAGTTTTACAAAGTTAATAACAATAATTCTATCCTACACTTTTATGATCCAGTTTCCTACCTTTAAAGAAGGCGATGACTGAAAGACCTACTGACATGTAACTGATGGTCTTTTCCACCCTGAGCACAGGGAGGAGAGTTCTCTGAGGCATGCCTACTATTTGTGGTCTGTTACTATTTCTGCCCCTGACCCTTGGGTTTACTGCCTTTGCTCAAAAGAGTCACCCAAGGGTTTAAATTACACCTTTGCTAGACATCTTAAAGCAGGCACTAATTATACATTCACAGTTTAGTTAAGGCCACTGCTCTTTTGGAAACAATCAAGGACCTAATACACCAGACGTGTTGTGTACCATAATCTTCTTAACCCATTGTACTGATGTCACAGTTTCACAAGAACCACTTCAGCAGCTCCGCTAATCTATGGATATATTTAGTCCCTACTCTCAGAGGCTTTTAAAAGAGCATATCGTAATACAAACTTTGATATTTGTTTTTAAAATGGCACTGGTTGTAATAGTGCCCCGATAGCTTCTAAACAAATGAACTCCAACAGCACAATGAATTTGCTGTTTAATGAGTAACCTTCAGAAGAATTGGTACAACTGAGCTTTCTTAGTCACACCAGAAATTAAAGTCTCCTGGAGGTATTAATTACATTTATAGTCCTATTTGTTTCATTAGTGTTGATTCCTTAAATGTGAGTGTAGCTACTGCACTGTTAATTATTCTCTCAATTATTACTTTGATGTTATGTGGTTTTAAACATTTGTGTCGGTATTTTTCTCTAAGAAAATCTACATGGAAGGTTAACTGTTGACATGTTAACCTTAAAGAAAAAGGGGTCCCTAAGTTGCCTAGACTAGAGAAAGAATTTAAGCGACCTAATTAAATCAAGGACAACAAGTCAAAGTTCAAACTGGCAAAACCCTTGAGAAAAAAAAAAAAGTATCACAAATCTTCCTGTTCTTGGGATGCAATTACATTAGATCATACCTTTTATATGATCACCAAAAGACGAATTAAAAAAACAAAACAAAAACAACTAAATCAGAATGAAACAACTAATTCATGTCTGGATGTCATCTTCCGAAGGCATCACATTCATGTCACTTGGACCGGCCCACAGGTTGACACCTGTTACCGGGGTGTTACATACACCCTCTCCCTGCTTCCCTGTCCTCGCTGTACGCCTGACCCAGGCAGCGTCCCTTCCCAAACAAGGCCAGCTTTGCAACAAAGCGAGCAAGGAAAAAACAAACATTGCACATGGCAACTCCCAAGCCCCTGGCGGGGAGAGGCGGCACAACTCTCCGCACAAACACACGATTAACATGCTGTTCTAGCAAAATGTTTCCCTCCTGGGAGAACTGCCACTCCCTGAGACCCTCCCCGGCCCTCATGTGGGGTCCACACAGGTGTGGGGAGGTCCTGAGAGCATGCATCCTTCTCACCACAGTTCCACCGGCGGGTGGCCGTTACCCAGAGGCAGTTACCGCCCCCTGCGAAGCCCCTGCAGCTGCGAAGCCTCGCCCGGAGGAGGAGAGCAGAGGGAGGGGTGGGGCACCCCAAGTCTGGCCAGCGTGGGTGGAGAGCGGCTCTCACCCCGGGTGCGGGATGCAGGGGAGGGCTGCTCAGACCTCTTCTCCCCTCTCCCCCCGAGTCCTTTCCCATCCCAGCTCCCCAAACTCCTCCCACGTCACCTCGCGGACCCAAACTCTCTTGCTTCTCACTACTCCCCCCCAAACCTCCTCTCCCCTCCCTCGTTCACCTCTAAGTCAAGGTGACCAGACGTCCCGCTTTTGGCGGGACAGCCCCGATTTTCAACAATTTATCCCGCGTCGTTTTAAAAAAGTCCCGATTTTTGGAAGAAAGGGGTATGTGAGGAGGGGGGGGGCCTTAAGTTACCTAGAGAAAGAATTTAAGCAATCTAATTCAATCAAGAAAAACAAGTCAAAATTCAAGCAGGCAAAAAAAAAAAAAAAAAAAAAGGATGCAAATACATTGGATCATAAATTTTATATAATCACCAAAAGAAGTTTTTTGTTTTTTTTTTAATCAGAAAACTAGATCGGAATGGAACAACGAATTCATTTTTGGAAGAAAATCGGGACTTTTTTAAAACGCCGCGGGCTGCGGGACAAATTGTTAAAAATCGGGATTGTCCCGCCCAAAGCGGGACGCCTGGTCACCCTAAGTCCTCTCCTCCCTTCTTTCCCCCAAATCCTCCTCTTCCTCCAACTGCCCCCCGGAGTCCCCTTCTCGCCCTCTCCAACCCGCTCTTTCCCCTTAAAATAGTTCCCCAGAAACATCCCGTCATTGCCAGCCCCGACACTCACGAGAAGAAGGGGTCGTCCTCGAACCCGCTGTTGAGCATCCTGAACATGCTGGCGGCTCGGCCGCGGCGGCGCGGACCGGTGCGAGGACGATGTAACGCGCCGCAGCCACGCCGGGACCTGCCCGCCCCGCACAGTCCTCGCCCCTTGCCGGGCGGCGTAGGCGGTGGCCGCCCACTGAGGCGGAGCCGGACGCAGAGCTGGTCTCCCATTGGATGTCGGCTCCCCGACGTCACAGAGACGGGGCGGGGACAATGCGCCGCTGCCATGACAACTGGGATCAACACGGAGGTAAGCGTTCGGACGGGTGCCAGCCAGGCAGCCCATGGGCAGCCTCCCCAAGGCCTGGAGAGAGCTTGTTCTTAGGCCTGCCCCACACACAGAAATGAGACCGCCCTCTGCTTGACCTTGGGCAAACAGCCCTTGGCCTCCAACTGCAAGTCTTCTTTTCAGGAAAGTGGAGATGGGTCAAGATTTGGGCCAGATGGTATCCAAAAGACCCATTCTCGGGCCACCTCTTGTGACCCACGCGAGAGAGCCTTATAACTGAAGTAATCTGAGGTCGTTGGTCCAAGCTGTGCACAAATAATGAGGGGGGGGGGATATGCAAACGTTTTTTGGGTCCAGTTTAGTAAATACTAGTGTTCTCAGTGATTGAAGGTAACAGGATGGATGGGGCCAAATTTCAACAAACTTATTTGCCTTTTGTAAGTCTAAAACCCAAAGCAATCTATACCAAAGTGGGAAATGCTTACGTTATAAGTACACATGGAATTTAAAGTGAGAAAGAAAAAAAGTTGCTTTCTTTTCGATCCTCTTTCCAGTCTCTATTTTAAGGAACAAGTGTCACTTTGATGATGGCAGGTTTTCAACATCGCTCCACCATTCCTTAATCTAACTGCAGGACTCAGGCACAAAACTTGCAGCAGGCAACCCTATCCAACTAAAATTCCATTATCACTTTTTTGTTTTGTTTTAATTATATTATACTAGAAGCCCTGTGCCTGAATTTGTGCACCAGTGGGGTCCCTTGGCCTGATCTTCAGATCGGGCTGAAACCAGCTCTTCAACATCCCCCATGGGATCCAAGATTGTGAGAGGGCACAGGTCAGGCATAGGGACCCCAATGGAGCACGATCAGGGGTACTTTTACTAGTATAGATAGATTATATAGAATATGATTGCTTAAATGGGAGTGGGGGGAGAGATGCTTTTTCAGAAGGAGGAGATGCTCTTGGCAGACAAAAATACAAAATCCTTATATCTGGACTGATAGCTAAACCAGTTATTAAAAAATTGAACCGCTTTCTTTTACACCTTACACCAAACAGCTGTTGACCTTAAAATCCATATTCAGCCCCCACTTTAGGTTTTGCCTTTGAAGTTTACCCAGATTAGGTTCTGATTCATTGGTTTCTATGCCAGCCGGTGTTTCCAGGCCTATCTCCGGGCCTGATCTACAGCCTCTGTGGCAGCTGCAGATCAGGCCCCGCATCTCTCTCTCTGGGCCTCACTAGCAGCCACAGTGACTGTAGATCAGGCCCTGCTTCTCTCTCCGGGCCTCTCTCCAGGCCTGATCCAGAGCCATCTCACCCACCCGCTGGCCCCGCCTTGTTATAACAGTAGCCTGTGGATTTCGGGGGAGGGACTGAGAGATGCTCTATGCACTTCCTGGTGACTGGTCCTCCATCTAGTTGTTTAGATTGTGACAGCCCCTGGCCTTTTATCATATAGATGGGAAATCTTTTTTTTTTTTTTTTTTTAAAGGCAAGTGACACTGGTTTTAAACTTAAAGCACACATTTGCCTGAGGGCAGAGAGAGGGGTGTGGATGGAGGGAGGAAACGGGGGACATCTGAAATATTTTCAACAATAAAGATAAATTTAAAAAATAAAAAAATAACTAAAAATAAATTTAAAGCACACAATGATCTTTAACAATTTAAGTGAAGAGTTAGATAATTTAAAGAAACAGTACAGGTGAAATTCGAACCTGGTCGGAAAGACATCATGACAATGGTACTCAACATTACTGAGTTTTGCAAAACACTGTCCTGAGGTCTCCCAGGAGCCTAGTGGCAGATGGAGGAGGAGACAGAAGAGAGGACAATAAAGAAAGAATGATAAGACTGTAAGAAGGTGGAAAAATGCACCTTGCATATCCACTGTTAGTTTACTGGACACCCCAACCTCTCTAAGGTGATTTTCTGTGGAGACAGAGGGTCATCTATGGCTCCACAGGGCTTCCTGGGTGGAGCCAGAGAAGTGGCACGCAGCCAGCGTGCAGAAGCGTGCAGAGCCTGATTTGGAGGTGGCAGGAGTACTCGGGTTATTTTGGGAGCGGGAAATTTAATCCGTTGGACTTTTTACCTCCCCACCTTTAGCCAAGTTCTCTGGTAGCCTCCTTTTTCTGAAACAGGTGTCATGAGGCAGGTCAGACTTCACCGCCTGCGAGAAGATAGTGTAGCTCTTCTCTCTGGCCTCAGAGGAAGCTCAGGCAGTATATCCATATTGGGACATTTCTAAATCAGTTTCAAGTCAAAAAAAAAAAAAAGGTTTAAAAGACCTGAATTACTTTCTCTTTAAAATAATATGAAAATATTAAAATAGTTCTGGATTAAGGTCAAATAAAGCAACTAGTGAGAAAATTTCCCCTGTTGTTCCCATGGGGATTTTCCTTAGGCTCATGTGGTTAAACCGTGAAAGCTTTAGTGGCACATGCCAGTCCAGGAGTTAGTTACCTGGAGCTTCTGAAAGCATTTCTTTTTTTTTTTTTTTTTTTTTTTAAAGCAATCTTTATTGTTCATATTATTACAAAGGTTCCTCATTTCTTCCCCCCTCCACCAGGTTCCCACCCCACCCTCCGTCCCCCCCCCATCCCCCATTGTCCTCATCCATAGGTGCAGTTTATGTTCAGTCTCTTCTTCCCTCAATTTCCCCAATAGTAAATCCCTTTTCAGATAGTAAATCAGTTACTTAGCATTTTCTCATATCAATAATACCTCCACATGCCCAATGATACACTTCACACAAAAGACATTTCCCACTAGGTCAACCAGCCTCATCCAGGCCCCACCCAAGGCACTCACAGATCAACACCCCAGTCCTAAACTAACTCAACAGATCCAGATCTAAGCCTTCATCACTTGATTCAGCAGACACTCAAGTTCCCACGAAAGTTTCCAGCCATGTCTGAGAAGCAGCCGTGGGGCAGGGGCAGGCAAGGAGCGAGCTGTTCTGGGCCTGGCTGCTCAGGGCCTGGCCTCTGTTGCTCTGGTTCATTCCACAACCAGCTGCTCCGGGTCTGGTCACTGCCGCTCCCGACCTAGTTGCTCTGGACTTGGCTGCTGCTCCCCCGGGCCTGGCCGCTCCCAGCCTGGCAGCCGCTGCTCCGGGCCTGGCCGCACCGGACCCGCCTGCTCCCCCGGGCCTGGCCGCTCCCAGCCTGGCAGCCGCTGCTCCGGGCCTGGCCGCACCCGACCCGCCTGCTCCCCCGGGCCTGGCCGCTCCCAGCCTGGCAGCCGCTGCTCCGGGCCTGGCCGCACCAGCCCCGCCTGCTCCCCCGGGCCTGGCCGCTCCCAGCCTGGCAGCCGCTGCTCCGGGCCTGGCCGCACCCGACCCGCCTGCTCCCCCGGGCCTGGCCGCTCCCAGCCTGGCAGCCGCTGCTCCGGGCCTGGCCGCACCAGCCCCGTCTGCTCCCCCGGGCCTGGCCGCTCCCAGCCTGGCAGCCGCTGCTCCGGGCCTGGCCGCACCCGACCCGCCTGCTCCCCCGGGCCTGGCCGCTCCCAGCCTGGCAGCCGCTGCTCCGGGCCTGGCCGCACCCGACCCGACTGCTCCCCCGGGCCTGGCCGCTCCCAGCCTGGCAGCTGCTGCTCCGGGCCTGGCCGCACCTGACCCGGCTGCTCTGGGCCCGGCTGCCCCGGGCCCGGCCGCTCCGAGCCTGGCCACTCCCGACCTGGATGCTCTGGGCTTGGCTACTGCTGTTCTGGGTCTGGCTGCTCCCACCCCGGCTGCTCTGGGCCCGGCTTCTTCGGGCCCGGCCACTCCGGGTCTGGGTGTTCCTGGACTGGCCACCCTGGGCTTGGCCGCCTCCGCCTCATGCCTGGCTGCCACTGCCCCAGGTCTGGCTACTCCAGTGCTGGCTGTTGATGCTCTGGTTCTGGCTGCTGTTGTTCTGGGGCCTGGCCGTTGCTGCTCCGGGTCTGGCTGCCACTGCCTTGTGCCTGGCCACTCTAGGCCTGGCCGTCGCTGTTCCAACATTCTGTCCTTTTTTTTTCTTTTTAAAACGCATTTATGTTGCAATGTTGGCTGGTGGGTTGAGTTCTGACTTAGTCTTTGATTTTTCAAGATCTTCTTTGTATTCTTTCTTAAGTAATTTTACTATTTTTTGCTCTCACTTGATTTCTTCACATTGAGAACTTCTTTGGTTTCTTCCTCCTTGTCCTGGGAGCTCAGCAGGTTGGCCTGTGGCACCCCTTTGTTCTCCGCGGGCTCCTGTGCTGCTTCAGCCTGTTGCCGGGACGGCAGCGCCGCCCAGGAAGCAGCCCCCCTGGCCTTGGCTCCATTGCCCGAGCTCAGTGGTCAAAGGCTCAGGGGCACCCACGCCCCCAGGGGCCCCATGGCCCACCTCCTTGCTGGTGCCCGGTTGGCTGGAGTCCGGCAGGGGCTTCCGCTCCCCTCCGCGTTCCCCCAGCCTAGAGCTTTTTTTTTCTCCTTCCCGCTAGGGAAGTCCAGCATCAGAGTCAACAGACTGTCCTCTGCGCGCAGTTTGCGCGAGTCCCACAGACTGTCCTCTGCGCGCAGTTTGCGAGAGTCCCGGGGGCCCGGCCCTTCGCCGCTCTCCCCGGACTCCACCTCACAGCCCCGTCTCCCTCTGCCTGAGCCTGGGTCCCCAGGGATTGGCCCAGAACTGGGGTTCGGAGCAGTCCAGACTGAGGCTCAGCGCCGCCGGAGGCCTTGTTTCTTCCGGCTAGGGCAACCCAGCATCAGAGTCAACATTCAGTCCTCTGCACTCGCATTGCGCGCGACTCCCGGGGCCCTGCCTTTCGCCG